AAAAAAAAGGGGAGGGGGGAGACTGGGGCTAGAGCACAGTGTAGGAGAACCTAAGGATTTAGCTCAGTCTGGAAAGTGTTTGCATGCTATGCAAGCAGCCCAAGACTCAATCCCCAGCACTGAATAAAACAGGATTTGGCCTGGTACAGCCCTTTAATCCCAGCACTTGGGAGGAGGAGGCAGAGGCAGGCAGATCTCTAGGAATTCCAGGCCAGCCTGGTCTACATGGCCAATTTCAGGCCAGCTGGGACTACAGGGAGACTCTGTCTCAAAAAGATTTAAAAACAAAAACAAAACACCAGGGTGTGGTGGTGTACACCTGTAATCCTGGTACTCAGGCAGAGGTAGGAAGATTAGAAACTCAAGGTCATTCTGTTACATAGTAAAGGCTAGTATGGGATACATGAGACCCTGTCTTTAAAAAAAATTTTTTTTAAAGTGTTAAGAGAAAGTAATACTTAACTAAGATCCAAAGGGAGAGGAAACTGTATGGGAAGGTAAGAAACAGTAGTGACAGTGACCAAGGATCTCAGTTGAGGCATGGCTGACACAGAACCAAAGTTAGGCCACAATCATCTTTTATTAGTTTTTTTTTTTTATTTGGAGTTTTGTTCTGTTTTGTTTCTACCTGGACACCTGTGCCACTGTGTGCATGTGAAGGTCAAAGGACAACTTAGGGGACTCAGCTCTCTTTCAACCACGTGGCATCAGCAAGCTCTTCACTTCATGAGCCATCTCACTAGCCTCAGTCTGGGTTTTGAGTTTGTTGTTTTGGTTGTTTTGTTTTTTTTTTAAGATTTTAAGCTTTATTTATTTGTGTGTCTATGTGGCTTGCCACATGTATGAGGGTACCTACAAGGGTGCCCAGAGAGGGCAAAAGAGGGCTTTGGATCCCCTGGAATTGGAGTTACAGGCCACTGTAAGCTTCCAGACAGGGATAAGAACCAAACTCGGATCCTCTGGTAGAGCAGTAAATGCTCCTCACCTCTGGGCCATCTCTCCAGCTCTGATTTTGGAATTCTTTAGACAAAAATCTCTGAAGCCCCCGCTATCCTGGCATTAGCTATGAATCTAAGGATGATCTTAAACTCCTAATTCTCCTGATCCTACCCATGTGTTGGAATTACAGAGCTATAACACTCCACCTAGTTCATAATCATTTTGGTGCTACCATAAAAATAGTATTTGTGGCCGGGCATGGTGGTGCACGCCTTTAATCCCAGCGCTCAGGAGGCAGGGGCTGGTGGATCTCTGTGAGTTCAAGGTCAGCCTGGTCTACATAGTGAGTTCCAGGACAGCTGGGGCTACAGAGAGATAAAAAAAAAAAAAAAAAAAAAAAAAAAAAAAAAAAGTATTTGTAAACCAGGGGTGGTGGCACACACCTTTAATCCCAGCACTCAGGTAACAGAGGCAAGTAGAGCTTTGTGAGTTCCATACCAGCTTGGTCTACATAGCAAGTTCCAGGCCAGCCAGGACTAGGAAGACCCTTTCTCAAAATAAAATAAAATTTAAGGAAGGAAATTAAAGGAAAAAGGAAAGGACATGGTGACACAAGTCTATGACCCCAGCACCCCAGAGTCAGAGGCAGGCAGACCTCTCCAAGTTCCAGTCAACAAGGCTACACAGTGAAAACCCATCTGAAAAAGCAAACAAACAAACAAAAAACCAAAAGTGAACTGCAAAAAACAAGTGAACAGAAACAAAAATTAAAAACAAAAACAAAATATAACACAGAACAACCAAAAAAGATATTTAAGTACAAAGTTAAATTCTATTCTAAGCTTAAGAGACACCACAAATATGATCCCTTAAACAAAAGCCACTTAATAGAGAAACATCTATAGGAATTAATGAAGTAGTCATTAAAGTGGATCATTTCCTAAGCCTGAAAGGGCTTTCTATGCCAATTACCCAACTGCCTGAGTTCTGGGGCTGAGGACTGACACCCTCTTTCATACAGCTTTAAAACAAAACTGAGAAAGCTGAATTGCACAGAAATTCCATTTGAAATTCAAATGAGAACACATACCGAAAACATTTCAAGACAATAACTTCTAGTTGTTTGAATTCATTCAATTTTCGTTTAAAGTTATCACAAAGGCCATGCACAGTTCCAGAGCACTGCCTAAACAGCAGTAATAAACTACCACAGCATGCAGTCAGGCACCCAATGCATCATCATTTTCACCTATTAACGAGCAAATATCTTACCATTAAGAGATGCTCATCCATTACACTTACCATTTGAGGGATGAAGGGACTTACATGGAGTAATGGACAGATCAAAACACTTATTTTGGCAACAAATACAGATTATTCTCTAAACCAGCATTTACTGATGCTTTCTAATTATGTTATTTCATTGATGATGGGCTCACTGCCAATATGCAAAAAACCCTCCTCTTATATTTGATGAACATAATTTTACTATGTCAAACTCACTTAAGTATCCAAAGCACTCAGCTTCTAGAAAAATAATTCTCAAATACAAACAGCATAGTTTCTTTGACTCTATTTGTAGAAAGTTCTTCTTGTCACTGTATCAACATTGTAATTATAGTTAACATGACAGCCACTCGTCATCAGCAGCCCATCTGGTTTGGTAAAATGAAAAGGCTAGCTAGTGCAACATCATTACCACGGCTAGTCTGGAGAAAAGTATCCACAGGGAAATGCCAGTTTGAAGGCTAGTAGAAAGTCAGAACTGTAAAAGAGTAATTTAAGACTGGGTGACACTTTCAGAGAACTTCTGATAAATTTTGTTATGCATATTTTACCACAACAACAAAAAAGGAAAACAAAAAACAGTTCTGAAGGTCTCATTTGGGTCAACTTTAGCGTATCTTTCAGGAGCTTTTTAAGGAACTCAAGAGGCATGTACAAAGAAAACTGTCATAGCAACTTGGCCTTTGTTCCCTCCCATCCCATTCCATTCAGGATGGCCAGCCTATCACATGAGATCTGGCTCTTAAGCGTGAAACTAGAAAGGAGAACAACAGCTGAACTAAGTGTGGGGGAGGAAGCAATGACTATAGGGAGATCCAACTCAAGGGTCACAATCAAAGTTAAAAGCAAGGTATTTTTCCGTTTTGTATTAAGCACAGTTGCAAAGTAACGTCACAGTACTTGTGCAATTATTTTCAAAAAGACAGAAGTCTTAAGATATTCAGGGCAGTCAATGTTTAGAAAGAGAAAAAAGGTCCCAGGAGTGTCAAGTAACATTCTCAGGGTCTCTGATGTACAGCTATCCAAGTTATGCCATTGACTGGGTCTGTACAAACTAAAAATAGTAACCGTTTCAATAGTTCTTTTTCCACAACCAATATCACCTTACAGATTTTGCTGAATAAGTTTCATCATCTGCCCAAGGAGGACCAAAAGAGTCTAAGTTCAACCTCTGTGTGCTTTTATTCAATTGAAAGGAATGTTAGAGATACGAAAGGACCACAGAAAACTCACCAAATAAGGCACAAAAACCTGATTTTTCTACTCGAAAACCTGTAAAACTACCCAGTTCTTTCAAGTGGGTGTCAAACTTCTCATGACTGCAGCAACTATGAAACATAAGCACGTTCTGTGTAAATAGGAAATTTCTGAGCATGCAGCCTTCCTAAGGACCAGCTTAACCTTCGCCAGACTCTTCCTAACCCCATGGAAGCTGGTATGCCATACAAGCTTTCCAAAAACACTGCAAACGCAGAAAACCCTAATAGGACACCAGATAAAGACCAGGCTTCAAGAGAAATAGAGATTCCACCTCAAACCACACACAGAAACTGAACACATCCTCCGGTAAGGGACTGGATCCATGTGGTAGGACCAACCCTGCGCGCGCGCGCGCCCACACACACACACACACACACAAACACACACAGTCTGCTACCGGCCTTGCCCAACCCTGCACAGAGAGAGAGAGAGAGAGAGAGAGAGAGAGAGAGAGAGAGAGAGAGAGAGAGACTGCTACCGCCTTGCCAGGGGATGATGAAATGAGGAACGGAAATTAACATTTCAGGCAACGTCTCACATTGTTCCTTGAGGCCAAGGGCTGCTGCTGCAGTCGCCGCCACCGCTTTCCTCCCACTCGCCCCCAGAACCGCCTCCCTCTCCCCCGGACGCCCCCCGCCGCCCCGCATTCCTGCCTCCCGCTCTTGGGCCTACGCGCCTCCGCACCCAGTCGCCCCAGGTCCCCGGCTTGCCCGCCCCCTCCGGCTCGGCTCGCAGCCCGAGGGCCGCCTGCTCCCATTTCAAAACATGATAATAATAGGGACGCTGGGAATAACAACCACCACTAGCGCGGCGACGGCGCCCCTCCCAAGGGTCAGAGGTCGGCGCCCCGGGCCCGCACCGCGCTGCCGCAGACGCCAGGGACCCTTGAGGGTCCACAGCCGACCCCCTGGAGCCCCAAGACCCCGGCCTCCGCTTCCCGCGACACCCGGGACCTAGGCTGGCCCGGCCTCTGTACTCAGGGCAGCCCGAGATGGCCCGTCCCGGAGCCTCCACTAAGCCCCGCACAGCCGCCCCGCAGCCACCCGAGCCTCCCCACGGCCGCTCCGCAGCCACCCCAGGGTCTCCCCACGGCCCCGACGTACGCCCCCAAAGCATCCCCTCGGCCCCGCACGGTCGCCCCAAAGCCACCCAGAGCCTCCCTTCAGCCCCGCACGGCCGCCCCGCAGCCACCCCAGAGCTGCCCCTCGGCCCCGCACGGCCATTCCAGAGCTTCCGGACTGCTCTACAGCCACCCCAGAGCCTCTCCACGGCCCCTCACAGCCATTCCAGAGCTTCCCCTCAGCTGCTCCACCGGCCGCCTCGCAGCCTCCGCTCCGCTCCGCACGGCCGCCCGCAGGACCCCCGAGGCCCAGCGCCCGGCTCCTCGTAACGCTCGGCCCTCCCCGGGGCGCACCCGCCGCGTCCGCCGGTGGAGGAGGCCGCAAGGCCGCAAGGCCGCAGAAACGCCCGGCGCCTGCCCCGACCACCACCCCCAAGTCCGCGGCGCCTCTCACCCGGCTCCGAGGACAACGCGGCTCCGCGGCGGAACGGCGGCAGGGCACGGGCGTGGCGCGCGGGCTCCCAGCTGCGGCGAGTGCAGAGCCGGCGGGAGGGGAAGCCGCCCAGGCTCACGCGGGGCCTCGGCGCTCGCGCGGACGTTACTGCGGGGGCGTCTGGCCGCGAACTCCGCGGCGGCGCCTCCCCCGCTGGGGCCCTCGGTCCATTGCGCTCCGTCGCGGGCGGCCTCTGGCTCCAGGACCCAGCGGTGGCTGCGGCGGGCGCCGGCCGCATGAGACGCTCCCGCCCATTGGCTCGCCGTATCCGCCTCCGCCATTGGCCCGCCCCGCAGAGCGGCAGGGGCCGCTCACGTCACGGCGTCGGGGAGGAAGTGCGCCGCTAAGGTAAAGGGGCAACGGCAGCTCGACGGCTTCCAGAACTGACCCGAGGCGGGACTAGAAGGACGCGCCGGGAATGATTGGTCGACCTCGTGCGTGGGTGCGTACGGGACGCACGTGGGTGAGACATCCAGATTGGCTGCCTGCGTTGCCTAGAAGGCGGGTCTTTCGTTGTCGAGCACGGCGATTGGCTGTCCCAAGTGCCGGAAGCGATGCGGACGCGGGCTCCCGGCTGCTCTAGAAGGAGCCGGAAGGTAGTTGTGCGCTGTGCGGGCCGACGTTCTGACGCGCAGGGTGGTGTTTCGCAGGCGAGTCTCTCCGAGTCCCCGAAGACGTGGCCCGAACCCTGACGGTTCTGCGAGATATCTCGGACGCGGGCTGGACGATGGGGAAGCAGCAGGGACCACAGGGTGGCAGTGAAGGAGAGACGGACTCGCGCCCCCGCCTAGGCCTTCGCGTCGGCTCTGGCGTTCCTCGGAGGCCGGAGCGCCACGTTAGCCACTGGGACGGCTTCGCGGTGGAGACGTGTCCCTTCCGTTCGCCTCTCCTGGAATCCTTAGCCTTCGTATTTCACCGTGAGGCATGTTTCTTCTTCATGGAAGAACGGAAAGAAGACGTAGCTGAGTCAGGCTACAGATGTCTTATCATGTAGTTTATATGACGCAGAAAAGTTAGATGGTAGTATGTGTAGTAGTGATTTGGGTTGCGAAGGAGCTCAGATTCCAAGTAATCCCGCTGGCGTGGAGACACAGACCTATAATCCCAGCACTCGGGCCGCTAAGGCAGTAGGATCTAAAGTTCAAGGTCATTGTTAGGTCGGTTTAGAGTTTGAGGCCTGCCTGGGTTACCTGAGACCCTGCCTCCAAACAAAAGTAATCAGGCCTGGAAAGAACATTCAGTGGTTAAGAGCGCCTGCTGCTTTTGCAGAGACCCTAGTTCAGTTTCCAACACCCACGTGGCAGCTTAAATTAGCTCCAGGGGATCCAAGGCCCTCTCTGACCCCATGGGCACTTAATGCACATGGTGCATGTACAGAAAACAAAATACTCATACACATAAAAACAAAAATAAATCTAAGCTAGGCGTGGTGGCGCACACCTGTAATCCCAGCGCTCCCTAGGCAGAGGCAAGTAGATCTCTTGAGAGCGTGGCCAACCAGTGTTCATAAATTCCAGGAAAAAAAAAAAGGAACTGGGGCATAGTGGCTCACAACTTTAATTCCAGCACTTGGAAGGCAGGTGGATCTCTGTGAGTTCTAGGCCGATCATGGCTTCACAGTATGACTCTCTCAAAAAGAGAAAAAAAGATACGAAACATCAGATCTAATCTAGGGTAGGCTTTAGGTTTCTTTACAGAATTGATCATTTGACAGCAAGTGAGAGCTAATTCAATGAGTGGGGGGTGTTCAGGTCCTGCGCTGTCCCTGAAACATGACCAGGTCTGCCTACTGAGCAGAATGCAAACTGGCATGTGCCGTAAAGGTAAAAAACAGACCTAGGATTTCAAAGTCTTGGGACTAAGAAGAAGCTAAAATACCACACAAGAAATACATTAGACGCCAGTCGTGGTGGCCTACCCCTGTAGTCCCAGCACTTGGGAGGCAGAGGCAGGCGGATCTCTGTGTGTTCAAGGCCAGCCTGGTCTGCATAGTGAGCTCCAGGACAGCTCGGGCTACAGGGAGACTCTGTCTCAGACCAAAAAAAAAAAAAAAAAAAAAAAAAAATGCATTACACGTTGAAATGATAATATTTCAGATATGTTGCTTTGCATAAAACATACTGTTGAAATTAATTTCTAGCTCCAGCCACCTATGGAGAAATCTCAAGTATCCAGCAACTCCCATTATGTTCTCCTGAACAACCCCTACATAGGAGCATCCCCAGCCCTTTGAAGTAAGGAGAAGTGCAGTGGCTTGACAGGCAGCATTCTTTCATACAGCAAATTAAGGGCTTACTGTATGTTCATCACACAACAGGGTAAAAGGGGAGCAGAACTTTTCATGTGAGTTAGTCATAGGACTCTGTTACGATGACCTTTGAGCAGAAACATGAAGAGAGTGAGGAACAAGGTATACAGGTTGGAAGAACACACCTCAAAAAGTGTAGAACAAGTATGAGGCCCTGAGTGGGCAAAAAGCAAGTCATAGCGATTAGGCGGGCCATTGGGCCATGGGCCATTTCTGTTACTGTGGCCAGCATGAAGGGCTAGAATTTCATCCTGAGTGAGAAGGTAAGTCACTGGAAAACTGAGAAGATAAATGACATAACTTTGGTATCAGAAGGTGGCTCTGGGAAAGACCTACAGAGAAAGTGGGAGATGGCACGTTTGAAGGCAGTTGACAAGATTTTGTTTGATAATAAGAGAAAGAAGGATTCTGGGTAAACTTGTCACTGCCTGGAGGGGGACTTGGGAAGAGTACATGTTTGGCTAAAAAAAGTATATTGTTTTTTGTTTAATTTTGTGGTTTTTGTTTGTTTTTGAGACAGGGTCTCCCTGTTGCCCCAGCTGTCCTAGAACTTATGTAGACGAGGCTGGCTTCTTATCTCACAGAGATCCACTTGCCTCTGCCTCTCAAGTGCTGGGATTAAAGGCATGCACACCATGCCTGGCTCTGCAGCCTTCACTTTTAGACCCTCAAGTTTCTTCTCTTTTTGCCAGGCATGGTGGCACATGCCTTTATAATCCCAGCACTTGGGAGGTAGAGGCAGGTGGATGTCTGTGAAATCAAGATCGAGGCCAGCCTGGTCACCATAGGGAGCTCCAGGACATCTGTAGCTATAGGGAGACCTTGTCTCAAAAAGACCAAAAAAGAGAGACGAGGAGTAGACCAGGAAGAGTGAAGTTGGTAGTTGGTCAGATTTGGAAAAGGGTCAGGTGGTAAACAGAGACTCCCAGCTGTCTAAATGCCCGTCTTTGTTAATGCAGTTCCCAGGCCTTGCTCTAGACAAGTCAGCCCTGAAGGGGATTCCAGAGGCCTGCACTCAGGGTGATCCAAGGGCTATCTTCCATCTCCAGTATTCCCCAACCTCCTGTTTGTTTAAGCCGGAGTCCCCCTACCAAACAAAAACAAAACAGATGCAGTGACACAGGCATGCATCTGTAATGTCAGCATTCCTACAGCAAGATGGAAAGATAGGCTAGCCATCCTGGCCTATGCAGCCAGGCAGAAGAGAAACCCTGCCTCAGAGTTGTCCTCACATGTGCTGTGACACGTGCATCGGCACACACATACACACATGCACACAAAATAAGCTTGTTTTTAAAATTAAAGCACAATTGACTGACCCCAGAGTACTGGATCCATTGTACAAACATTTCACAGTGCTGCTCTTTACTAGACTGTCCCAGTCAGAGTTGTGGTGTTAACATGACCTCACCAAGTTCCTGCTAAAGACTCTGTGTCTATTCGTTGGAACCAAAAAGAAAAAGAAAAGCTAATTATTCATTAAACATAGCCATATGTGGCTACAAAAAGCAGATTTGGTGCAGGCAGGAGTCAAAACAGGCAGACAGGCCCTAGGGTCAAGGGATGGTAGGCCACCCCTTCCCAGGGAAGAAAGGATGTGTTACACTTTGTTCTGCCTGTAGGCAGAGGCCCTGCCTCCCAACCCCCATGCCACCACCTTCTGGACTGAGAGAAGTTCTCTTCATGGCAGGCCCCTCTCCAATTCCTGACAGGCTGAACACTGCTTCCTCTTCCACACAAGTGGCAAAGTGGAAAGAGCAGGCCATGTTCTAGCACCTTCCCTCCAGTCTCTATGGACATATGGTAAGAGCTGACAGCCTCAGCCCCTGTGTTCAACCACTCCTTCCCAGCATTCTTAACATTAGAATCAGGAACCCAAGCACATTACACAATAAATTATTTCATGTTTTGCTCCCCTGTTCCCACAGTCTTGGGGCACATTGCCCTCCCACACCACAAGTGGGAGGAGCTAGGTATGAAGCCAGACTCATCCCCAGGCCCTGAGCCTAGTACCACCCAAACCATGCCCCAGTGTTTAAAACTGCACCCCATGTTTTTTTTTCTGTATCCCTCAGTTTGAGGGCATTTCTGCATACACTTTCTGTTTTTATTTTACATATTTGAATGTATTGCTTATATGCATGTAAGTACATCCATGTCATGCAGTGCTCATGGAGGCCATAAAAGGGTGTCAGATCCCCTGAAACTGGAGTTACAGTTGTTATCTGCCATGTGGGTGCTGGGAACTGAACCTGGTTCTCTGCAAGAGCAGCCAGAGCTCTTAGCTGCTGAGCCTTCTCTCCAAACCACTTTGTGTTGTTTTTAAGACTAGATCTCTGAGACTACAGACATGTGGGAATGTACCCAGCTTTGTTAGTTTTTGTTGCCCAATTTTTACTATGGTAAAGTACATAACAACAATGGCTGAGGGTATATAGTTCAGTGGTAAAGTGCTTGCATAGCAAGCCCCAGCTACTTGGGAGGCTGAAACAACATCACCCTGTCCCAATACTGGGGGGAGGAAATAAAGCCTTTTTTTTTTTTTTTTTCTGAGGCAGGGTCTCCCTGTAGCCCCAGCTAGCCTGGAACTCACAGAACTCTAACCTGCCTCTGCCTCCTGAGTGCTGGGATTAATGGCATGCACCACCATACCCAACTTTCCTGTCTGGCTACTGGTATTTAAGATTATTTTTTGTTTAATTTTTATTGTATGTATATGAGTATATTGTCTACATGTATATAAATGCACCCATATCGTGCAATACCCATGGAGGTCAGAAGAGGGCATCAGATCAGATCCCTGGAACTGGAGTTAGGGACAGTTGTTAGCTGACATGTGGGTGCTGGTAATTGAACCTGGGTCCTTTGCGAGAGCAGTCAGTGCTCTTAACTACTGAGTTATTGCTTCAGCCCCATAAATCAAAATTTTTTTAAAAA